ATAATATTTACTTAGTATATAAGAAGCCTAGCTTCACTATAGCTAGTCTTTACTTAGCTCCTTAGCTATTAATATAGTTATCTACGCAAGATCTATTATCTCGCATATAGACTATAACCCGACCGCTTAAGTTAACGATACCTTAGTATACTTAGTTTATAAACCGACCTTAGATCTACCTACCCTATAGCTAGTCTAACCCGAACGTTATAATAGGGCGCCGAGGAAGTAAATCGCCTAGGGCTAGACTCGTACCTCGAGTTATCGCCTAAAGGGAAGAGTCTGTTTAAAAAATATAGGTTCTAGGTATTAGAGACGTTTATAGTAGACTTATCGAAATAAGGTAGCCCCTAGGACTATCCTTCGGCCTTAATACTCTATCCAGCGCAGAAGTCTATCTACGTGAGTATACCTATTAACGTAGAGTATAGGGCGGTAGATTTAATATATAAGAAGTAATATATAGACAAAGGGGCACTAGGAAACCGACGCTTATATTATTACGTAATCAGGATACCCGAAGATACTAAAGATATTCTCGCTCGTATGCAGTATATAGTTCTCTAAACGCCGCTATAATATCACGCCTAGAAGCTATTATTATAAACACCCCGCCGTCGAAGGCATACTTATTTTAACTATAATGCCAAACTCTATATAGAGGAACTAGGCTCTTAAAGAAGATTTAACTTACTCGTTAATAAGCTTTAAATAGGAGCAGGAGACGTCACGGGACTAAGAACTAGTAAGACAATTATATTGCCCGGAACCTCGCCGGCCTCTTACTCGAGTCTCTCCCGCACTATATTTCTATTAAAGAGTAATACTCTTCTAGGCGCAGGGTAAGTAAATCGCGATAATCTAGGAACCCTTTAAGGTAGGCAAAGTAATAAGTAAAGAACTTAGTGAATAAATAACTTAGTTTAGAACTATCTAGTAGTGAGCGAACGCCTATATTATAGGCATGAGGGCGCTATAATATCCTATAAAAGAGTGGGTTAAACCGAACCTAGTGGAAGGTTATGGAAGGTTTGATTTATAATAGCGAGTGTAGTAGTGCTAGCCTTCGAATATTATAGAAGGCAATAGAAGCACTGTATTTATAAGCGCTGTGGACCCTTATAATAGGGCCTGAATAGATCCCTGTAAGGGTTCTGTGAGAGGGCCTCGTAAGGCACTTAATTAAGAGGATTAGCCCCCTATTCTTAATAAAACTTAATCGCTATTGCTAGCACGTCCTAACCGGTATTAGGATAATATACTACTATTAATAACATATCTTCGTAATATAGTGCCTTAGGCCGGCCACGACCCTCGGTTTCCTATATTAGAATATCCTCGAGGAGTGTTAAGTTCTAGTCGGGAGCCTCGTTAGTAGATTTGCCTATAGTATTATCTTCCCTCGCTTTAGCTTATCGGCGACCCTAGAGCTTATCCCACGATCTATCCCTTAGTTTGTTTTTTTCGTTATCCACGACTTTAGCTAGTCGTGCGCCCGTACTCGCGAGAATAATATACAATCCCGATAGGTTTATTCTCTATCGCTTAAGAGGAAAGATACTAGTATCGTAGGCTATATTAAACGTCTATAGGACTAGTAGATTATCCGGGCCTAGCACTAGCTTCCCGTCGATATTAGGCGGTCGAAGACTATATTTAGGAATAAGGTAGGCGTCGTGCTACTAAATACTAGATTAGCTCTCGTAAAACTTTTAATATAGAATAGAGGGGCATACTTTAAGGACTTCCCTACTATCGTTCCTATCTATATATTAGCCCGTAACGCTACTATATAGCTATTTAAATTACCGCTAGTATTCCTATAACGTCCCCTCCGACCTAATTTTCCACGTCTCGCAAAGGTAATCTAGGAAATCCATAGCTATCGCCTAGTCGGCTTATTTAATCACGTCTTTCTAGTGCCCTAGCTCGGCGGATTTATAATATCTAACGAACGGTTAGCGAGCGAAGTATTTAATAAACTACTTATCACGCACCTTTTCTATTAAGAATAGGGGGCTAATTATAACGGTTACGCCTAACCGTTGCGCTATGGGCAAAAGATCAGGCATTGATCGAATGACGAGCGATCAATACAGGCGTAATAGCTACTTATAGGGGGTTACGAGGGACCAGGTCGTAACATTAGCTCCCCTCCTCCAAGAGGTCATCCCGACCTCTTAGGCTCTCCACGCACTAGCCTCGCTAGCGCGATCCTAGCAGCTACTAACCCCTAAGGCGTTCCGCAATAGTCATGCCCAAGCTATTCGCGCGGAGCCTTATTAGCGGCGGGGCTCGAACAGTGGACCTTGAACAGCAGCCCCCTGCCCGACCGGGCCACCAGCTCTTTTCGATCAAATTATAACGGTTACGCCTAACCGTTGCGCCATGGGCAAAAGATCAGGCATTGATCGAATGACGAGCGATCAATACAGGCGTAATAGCTGCTTATAGGGGGTTACGAGGGACCAGGTCGTAACACCCTAATTCGGCGGATTTATAGTATCTAGCGAGTGGTTAGCGAGGAAATAGTTTTATAAACAGTAGCTCGCACCCTTTCTATTTCCGTAAGATACCGGCAATATTAATTTTAGTATTATCCGCGTAGTCGGGCTTAAGGAAGTAGACTTCCTTTAACTACTCGCGAAGGGCAGCCCGTTAACCGGCGCTAAGCGGCGCGGACTTCTTCTTTACCCGCTGCTACTTCTCGCGCTAGGTAAAACGCTCGATAAAGTCGGTATAGTAAGTAGTATACTCGTTTATATCGCGGAGGGAGCGGTAAGGAGGCGATATAGCGGGCTTAGGTATAGGCCTTAACGCGAAGAGGGGTTTAGAATAATAAAAAGAAATAGACAGGACGCATATACTATAGGCGGAGGCGCCGCTATCTTATGTGCTCCGCTGCTCGTAGCTTAGGAAATAAGATCGGGACTCTCGTTAAGAAACGGACAATGGTCTGCCTAGCTATTAGTGCTAAAATACGACGGCCAAGCGCCTAGCAGGCGCGGGTGATAGCGCTAGGCACTAGGGTTATCTAACCCCTCTACCACGCCCCACCGAGGTACCGTGTACCTGCGTGCGCCTATTGCCCCTCACTATCAAGACCGCTAAAAACGGCGGCCATTGCTTCTAGATTCGGCGGCTCGGACAGTGCTTTCTCGACTTGTACTAGCGTTTGTCATTTATCAAGAACTTCAGCGCCTCCGTGACAACCACCACCACCCTCAACTAGAAAATAAATACTATGGTCGTAAAGCTGAGCATGAGGAGATTATAATGGATTGATTTATTTATCATAGAAAAGAATTTGGCGGTGCGTACAGCGGATTGAATGAGGCAGCAAATAACGGATGTGCGTGTGTGCAAAAGTGGTTGACACAGTTGGCAGTTGTTGATCTAATATGCCGCTGTATCTTTTCCTAGAACAGGCCCCTCACTCTGAACTGAACTGTACTCCTACTCGGTTTTAGCCGCGATATTTCCGCAGCCATGCCCTGTTAGCGAGGTCCGGCCAACGCCCGAAGCGCCGTAGATAATCCGCGGCGCCTCACTTAGCCGTGTTCACAACACAGCCAGCGGCCCCCAGATTTCCCGCTGATTCCTCCTCAATACCTAAGTACCTTCATTGGTTGCCCCGTTGTATAGATAACAGTTATGATACCTACGTACATGTGCGCTAGGCTCTCGTGAGGCGAGCACCTCGTGTATGCGTCTAAAAATTTGGGCGAAACATCAGTTTCGGTAGCTTAACCGTGATTGTGGCCATTGCCAATTTCTTTGTCGAGGTGAAAGGGCCAGACGAGTCAGCAGCCACGCCGAAGCGGCAGTCAATCCCGACATGGCTCTGGGAGACAGGGGTCAAGCTGCTATATATCCTTACCTGAAGTCCGAGTAGAGCTATATCAACGACGCCCCACCGCGGTTGCACTTATCTGGATGGACACCTCAAATTAAATGCTAACCATGTGATGCAGCCATCCAGGGCCGAAGCGCAACCAGAATATGTCTTGGCACAGACTAAAGGTTTTGCTTTGGCTGATGATGCAGATTGGTTTCGAAAGGCGCTTGGTACACCGAACTTGGAGATCTGCGTGTGGTATATCAGAAATCTGGCTGTTGCTCGTGATCTTACCCCTCAACAAGTTGTGTTGGGTGGGGCATACGGCCCCGCTCCCAGAAACCCTCCGTTTGAGATCACGATATGTCAACGGCAAAAACCCGCAACCAGTGCTCCACAAGTCTATTCAAAGCGATGTCTGACACTGTTCAATCCCCTGAAATTAATGTCCGAAATGTTCAAGACTGCAGCAGATGCTCTGAATTTTCGCTAACGACGAATAACAGCCCTAAACCGCCGAACGCCCACCGAGTTTCCTCGACCTCCCTAGCGAGCTTCGCAATACGATATACGAACTCCTTTTATTGCGATCGACATCTATCAATCCTTGGCACCGAGTCCGATACGAGCTCGTGACTGGGCTTTTTCGCGCTAGTAAAAAAGTTCACCATGAAGTTACGTCGCTGTTCTACGGCCAAAACCGTTTCGATTTTACTCATATCGACCCCCAGACCCTGGCCTTATTCCTTGAGCAAATCGGAAGTCAAAACTCAGGCTATATTCGCCATATATTGATCGAGTTTCCAGATTTCCTCTATCTAGACCCTGGTGATGTCACCCTCAACGAGGGCAGCGTCAGCTTGCTCGCGGGCGTTCAGAGAAGCTACGGTAATCTAAGCTCACTCACAACGTCTTTGCATAGTACAAATGCTCTAGAACAGCGGCTCGACCAACTAGACCACTTTGGCGTTGCTGCTGAGGCGCTGGAACTCGTCAATGCTCGCTTCAGAGCCATTTCGTCAACACAAGAGATCATTCTCGAGGTATACGAGAATAGACCGGGGTATCAAGTAAGAAAGAAAATGGAGGATCTCGGATGGAAATTCAGCACATCAGTTTATGTGGAAGAGGAGGACTAGGACAGAAGTTTCAGTGACGATGACTTTGATGATGTTGGCTATGACCATGATGATGATGGGTACGATGATTACGACATCGACAATGATAGTGATTTCTGGAGGAAGGCGGCAGACTAAGTCATCAGTATACGTACTCATTGATGCCGACACTGGTACTGGTAAAGGCGTGCTTGGTGTCGGGGTGTCAGTTTGACATGAGTTGTTGTGGCGTCCGGTTTTAGCGATGTTTCCTTGTTCAGCTAGTATCTTCAGAATACCTTGCGAAGCTTCTTAACAAAAATAGGCCTGCTGTCCCACTTGTGGCACTTCAACATCGTCCACTCGGATATAGCTCACGTTGAAATCAGGGATGTCGCGGTAATGATGGATGGCTGTCGGTGAAGACGTGAGCTGGGCCAGAAATAGTACACGCGGCTGTAACTCGTCACAAGTAGGAAGGAGAGGAAGAGGATGGGTCGACCTGCGCGACGTACTTGCCCATCCGTTTGGCTTGGACCATAATCTGTTGAGGTGCGCTCGAGGCATTGCCTTTCAACACGAGTCTTGAACAAAGCTAGATCAGCAGCCTCCAAGACTCTTTTTTCTGTTTCTGGAAGGGGGCGTGAAAATAAATTCACGGGTAAGGATCGCAAGACATCGCCTGGATTCAATGTATCCCGCCGCTGAATTACTTAGGACATCAGGCAACAGAAACTTCATCTGATCCGCTCTCAAACATGTCTTGCGGGGCAGAGAGAGGGACAAATCGCAAAACGTGAGATAACGGAATTCGTGCCGTTGTAGTGGTGGATACAATGACCCTAAATCTACTGAGCCTCGCAAATGCGTCAGTCAATATTAAGAGCGAGGCGAAGAACTAGCCAATATCTACGTGATCCACTCCCCAATGGCATAGCTTCATCAGTTATCATGGTCATCATAAATCATTTCCCCATACTCATCATTATGCTACCTATTCTAACCGGCTCAACATTTCCGCAATAAGGGTAGAAGAAAACCCATCCAACGTATCCATGAGGTCCCGAAAATTTTTATACTTCCATAAGACTTCCACCGCATAAGTAGTATAAATGCCAATGAGTTCCCTCAGTGGATCCGCGCATCCCTCACGGTTAATCGTATTTTCAAAACAATACTGCACCAACGGTATAATATCCTGTAACGCTTCGTTATGGAGTGTGAAATTCGCTAGTGCTTCCCTAAGGTTCCGAAGAGCTAACATTCGCAATCCTGATAGTCCGCAAAAACGTAAAAGAGTGCCAAAAGTCAAACTATATACAGCTTTATAACACATCCACGCACTCGGAAGGGAGAGTTTTGACTAATGCTCGATAACCTTGTGGTGCTAGGCATGCCTCCTTGACTTGCACGGAGAAGCTTCAGATACGAGTGCACGATCTCTTCGTCTACTAGTGCCCCTGTGGCTAGCTGGCTCATAGATGTTGACATAGCGCTGCTGCTATCCCCGACCATCTGTGCCACAATGAAGGCATGGCGGACTTATTTCCCGGCCACTATGAGCGGCTGGCCTTTAACTGGGTATGGTCTGGTGGTGGTTTCCTAAGCCGTCCTGATCAGGCTAATGGAGTCGCTTGACATGGGACCCTTGGCGACTCTAGCGCGGCGATCGCTTTAGCCAACGAACCGACGCTGCATGATAGATAATGCAGTGGATGAACGATCTTTATCATAACGCGCGTCTAAAAGGAGCCGTTGCCTATACTAGAAACCCCTTAAACCTTTGCTAGAGCAGCCCTGCCTTGGCGGCGCTGTATCAGAACAACTATTGCATGTCGAATAGTTGCGAGGAAGACTATCTAGTGAAGGACATCCATGTCGGACGTGACTCACGATAACATATGGTAGACTCGTCCACTTGAAGAGGCCGCGCTTGCGGTGGAGCACCCCGGACATCAGGACAGTGATATATTCGTGAGTCTACGAATCTCGTGGAGAGATTGCGAGCGTGAGAAATCAGCCTCACAAATCCCATGGTCACCTGCTAGTATTGAGAACGAGCTATTACAGAAGGGAAAGGAAGAAGCTAGGAAGATAACGGGAGGGGATGCCACCTGGCCGAAGCAACTGCTGGCAATGAAATCAGCAAGCCTAAAAATAGCTCGGCAGAAGCAACATACGACCATCTGCCTGCCCGACGAGGTTGACAAGTACATTTTAGAGGTCACTGGAGACTTGGAACATGGTTTAGTATCTCCCGTTGTTAACGCGATAGCTCCAAGAAGGTAAGTCGGGGTCAATCAAGCGAGCTCAGCCGACGGATGCTTCCACTCACCTATGTGGTTCAGGTAGATGGGACGACCAACATGTGTAAGTTAGTCCGGGTCTGAGAACGCCATGCAGCCACACCAAAGGCTGGAAAAAGGGACTCGCAACGGCGACTCTTAGGTGCGCACCTAGGTGCGCATGTAAGTGTCACGTGTCACGCACCTAGGTGCGCAAATAAGATTTCTTAGTTAGCAGAAGCCCACAGAATCCGCTTCTGCACCAATCAGATACTATGGTCAACGACGCTCGCTACGGCGCTGCCACTATCGATACTTTCCTTGGGATTATCCAAGCGAGCCTTATTTTCTAACGCACGCTTAAGCCATTAATTTTTGCCGCAAGGCTTCCTCGTGATTATAAGTGATTCTCCGGATATTAAGCAGCATATTAATAATACATTACCCCCCGAAAATAAATATTCCTCACGCGAAGACCTTGTCTAAGCAGCGAATATATAGGCCGCCGCCAGGGGCTATATATTCGTTACCACGAAGTCGAAGTTATTAACAAGCGGCCGGCGGACCGTGTTCCTTGGCTGTGATCGAGTAGGAATAAGGCCAAGTAACTCTATCCCGCGCGTACGGTCTACTATATCAAAGCGCATAGGATGCCAATTCTCGGTCCTTGCAAAAGAATCGCTAGATAAGTCGGTATAGTAGATCACGCATCGTCCTAATGCTAAGTTCGGGCGTCACAACCACGGCCTAAGCTTCGATATTATAGCTCATCCAGTCCATCGCTAATTATCCGATACTAATATATCTATTATCCACGACCTCGCTAACGCTAGAGTTACACCTAGAGATATCCGCTCCTACCTACGCACGCACTCCGACGCTAAAGCAACTTAGCAAGATATCTATAATTATATTACGGAAGGTAAGCGAGAGATATAAGAAGGGTAAAGCACGATCTATACCCTTACTAATTAGCTTAAGACAGAGGGCTTCTAGAGTCGTATCCGCTTTAACGACGATAGTAGGGTCACGGCCGTGTTATTTACATACCTAGAGTTATTAGGGTACCTAAGCCTCTACCCGGATACCCTTATTTTAGATTATACCTATAAGATAAATAAGTATCGGATGCCCCTCCTAGATATAGTTAGCGTGGATGCTTACTAACGATCGTTCTATATCGCCTTTGCCTTCCTTAGCGGAGAAGAAGAGGCAGATTATACCTAGGCGCTAGACCGGTTGCGCTCGATATATATAGCCTGCGGCGTAAGGCTGCTATCTATTATCCTCACCGATCGCTGCCTTGCCTATATAAATGCTATGTCTTCTTATTTCCCCGAGGTAGTATTACTTTTATGTCTCTAGCATGCGAATAAAGCGGTCCTTGCCTATTACTTACCGAGCTTTAGTAATGATATTAGCGGGATAGAAAGCTAACTTATATAGTAAGATTTCTATAGGATATGGCATGAGATTGTCGTATCTAGATCTAACGAAACCTTCTAGCAGAGGCTCTAGGCCCTTAAGTAACGTTATACTATAATATATACCCGAGAAGTTAGGTATATTATAGAAATATAGCTCGATCTATATAAGGAGAGGCTTGTGAAGGCGTGGGTCGATAAGCACACGTATTTCGATAATATGGTTATATCCCGCACTAAAGGCATTTACTAGCTAATTAAGATCTATCTTAAGACGAGTCAGCTAGATCTCTTTGATGCTTAGAAATCGATTAAGCGCGTAGTTATTAATCAATTAGCATCGCTACGGGAGAATCAGGCTAAGTAACGACTTCGTATACCTATCGAACTCGCCGGGAGGCTATATAATATCGTGCGCGGCTAGGTCTCCTACGAGGCGTTGCGGAGGGTTAAAGGGCAGAGGAAGTTACTTATACTAGACAAGGAGCTTCCTGCCTGCACAGGAAGATTCACTACGTCACTCGGTCTCCCTTGCGCTCATATACTCGAGCCTATTATACGGGAACAACGCCCTCTTTAACTAGGCCAATTCCACACACACTAGCACCTTTAGCGTGAAAAGAGGCCATAGTTCCTAATCGAGCCAAGCAGGCAATTTAACCGAGCCACGGCTAGATCGACGCTGCCAAAGACAAGCACTCGCCGCGAGCCAAGCGTATTTGAGGCTATCGAGGGACTATCTAGGAAATCGCCCACATACTCAGCGTATAATAAGGTTAGCCACATAAGGATATCGAAGTTATATAGCCTGCGCTACGCGCATATCATATCTTTATTAACATCAGGGCCAGCGTTAGCGTCAGCGTCAGCTTTAGCGTCAACGCCGACTTAGGGCGTCGCGCCTTCAGCGTTAACGCCGACTTAAGGCGTCGCGCCTTCAGCGTCAGCCCCGACTCACAGTATCGCGGCTTTATCGTCAACGCCGCCGCCAGCATTAAGCCCGATCACTCCACTACGTATACTTTAGCCCTTATTATATAATATTACTAACCTTTTTAATAGAGTTCGAATTACAGCTAGAATTAGGGCTTAAACTAGCGTTAGAACCACAGCCAGAGCTCACGCTAGAACCACAGCCATAACTCCGTTACGATTATCCATGCGCTATATACGAACGATATATTGCTAATCGAGAGGCCTGGTATAAAACGCTGCCGTAAGGCAGCTTAAAGACTAACTAACAATATCGGAAGACGATAGGCCTACTATTACGCTATAGTAAGGAGGTATATGAATATTATCTTAACTATAAGCGGATAGGCAAGCAATGCGCCGTGAGAAGGCCACGCAGGGACTAGACTAAGGAGGAATAAATAGCCTATCTAGATTAGGAAGAGAAAGAGGACAAGCGAGTTAAGGCTTAGGTTACTACTACTATAGCCGAGGAAGCAGCTAGTAAGAGATCTATCCGCAGACGAGGGATATAGGATTATTAGGATATAGCGGAGAGGGACGTTGCGGAATAACAAGCGTTATACGAGGCATCACGCTTAAATTAAGTAGACGGCACGCTCGGCAATAGTATCTTCAATAACAACGCTAACGGTATCTTCAACAGCATCGCCAATAGCCTCGCTAACAGCCTTATATATCAAGTTAATTCCTCGCGCGTATAATATTTGCCCTACCGCCTAATTGCCTGCCTAGATTCCCCTCTTTATTCACTTCCGCGATACCCTTATATATTAGGATTACGATTAATTTAGTAACTTAGTCTAATAGTTAAAAAACGAGATCTCTTTAGCGTAGTGGTTGTAGGCTAGCACATCCTCTACGCCGAAGCTAGGTAGCTGGCCCCGCCTGCGTTCGTCGGATTCCTAAAGTTGTTAGAGATATAATCATTCGTGGTTACTGATCTAGCCTGGGTTAATTAACTCTTAGGAGTCTTTTCTGAACTTATACCTACGATAGTTCTTAGTGTTAGCTTTAATCTGTCTCTCCGTCGTAAGACGCGCTAGCTAGGTCTAGTAGATCTAGGTTCGCATCGGAGTAAAGTAATAAGTTATATAAAGAGCGAGGATTCGTACCTTTTTTTGGTTCGGCTGTGACTTATGCGTGTGCCGTGTTGTGATACTATAAGCGAGGGGGCCGTAATAATAATACACGCTTCTTTATGTGGTTATTACGAACGACAATGCTATGCGATTAAGCCCGAATAGGAAATTCATAGAATAAGAGGTTAATAGTTCGAATTAACTAAGTAATTGTTTTTTATTAATGATTGCTTGAACGAGGGAAGTTATTGATATTATGAAGTCGTTAATAGTGCTGGTTAGCAGTAATGCCGCGGCTGACTAAGAAATCTTATTTGCGCACCTAGGTGCGTGACACGTGACACTTACATGCGCACCTAGGTGCGCACCTAAGAGTCGCCACTCGCAACTCGTGGGTGTGGATGGCAGGGATGTTTGGGGGGGGGGGGGAGGGGCGGGGCCACGGTCAGGGCTGGTCTGTTCACGAAGGCATCGAAACTATAACTACTAGTCCCGCTTTCCTGACTTCATTCTCCATTCCAGTATATGGCCAAAGAGGGGAAGGGCGGGGGCTTGCTTAGTCTATAGTCAGTTATGGCCAATCATATCCATTTTGTGATATCCACCCCGCGAGCTAGACTACGCGTTAGCTCCATCAGACTCTTAAATCGTGCCAACCTAATTCAATATATGTAGGTCTAGGTCATAAGATGTTAGCACGTGGACGTTCGTTTCAGAAGGTTTGAGTCAAGACTGGAACCCTATTTCACTCGTAACCTCGTTTCATATGATAACACTGCTAAAAAGGTCTACCTCCTCTAAGTCAAGAGACTGGTACAACTTGAGTGAGGCAATGGACGATATCTCTTTCTCCAGAATTCATGAAGATATAATTATCTTCAGCACTCGCAAGATAAACGCATACAATGCGACTATATGGAAAGGCTCCGTTATTATTCTCGGCGGCGATCGTACGATACTTCGAGATATTCTGGACTACAAAAAGGCTGCCATAATGACGGATGGGAATTTAGCCGAGGGCAAGTCTAAAACGGATGCTACAACTGAAACCCATAATCTTGACTTAACGTCGTTATTGTTGGGTCCATCATATCCACTTAATAAAGAATTCGAACTCATAGAGGCCAACGTAATAAAGGTAAAACACCAGGCTGACTCTCTTTAACCTACTTCAATTAGAATACTAATTTATAGAATGATCTAGACGCACCTGAAGGAGGAAAGGAAATACAGAACAAGATCGCAGGAAACCTCCAAGTACGTATCGAAAGCAGCGGAGCAAATTTTTATATGCTTCAAAGTCACTAGTTAGATACATTCGGCTAGTCATGTTATAAGGACATCGACGATAGGACCTCTGCTCACACACGTAAATCGTATATGCAATAAATCACAATCGCAAATCAACGTCTACGGCGGCGGTGTTGCCAGAAAAAGAAAATACTGGCTCTAAGGGGCGCTAATAATCGCATAACAAATCTCCATATAAGACATCGAGTCTTTTAGCTTTATAGCATCACTAGCCGAAACCGAAGTCCGCTTTACAATCGTTAAAGTAAGGCTCAGGGTTCATGGTCAGGCTTCGCCATGCGTCTAATGAAACCCCGCATCGTCGGAATGCTAGTATCGGAAGAAAGTTAATAATGCTCCCGAGGCAGGGATTACATCATGGACTAGCTTCTCCTCTACCTTCTCACCATAACTTCAACATTTAACACGCAGACCTCGAGGAGTTTGCTCTTCTTCAGTATCTTTCTTAATTAGAATATCCTAATAATATTTAACGGGCAGAATTACGCTTACGACGCTTGCGTCCGTGGCCACCGGGTCAGGACCTGCGAGCATTATGGTAAGTATACCGGCATCTGCAGCCGCATCCCGCGTCAGGCGCTTAGATCCGGTGCAAATCGTTCGTGAGCTGATAGAACTAAAAATAGGACGTCCTTTGAAACTTATTAGCAAGAAGGGTCGGCCTATATCGCAATGCCAGCACTGCCGTAGTCTACGGAAGTCGCGCTCCGCTCACGTCAAGTATAGCTATGGAAAACAAGCGAATAATAACATTTTGTATATAGGGTTCACAAAAGGTAAAGCAGGTAAGTTTTCCCGGAGTACTATAGTATTTTTGCCTTTTAACCTTTTATCTTTTTCACAGGAAGTTACTATTGTAACTACGGTGGCCGCTGCACCTATGCTCACAAGAAGGAACAACCACCACCAGATACGACACTAGATACGATTCCTCAACCCGATAGTTCTACCGAACTAGACATGCCCTATATAAATAAAGGTGGATTTCAACTCTTCGGCTCTATGGGTGAGCCACATCAGGAGCATCGTCGTGTAACGTCGCAGATCCCGGCAGCCCTTCAACAGTTCGAGACGCAGCTATCGGTCCCCGGCATATCTTCTAATAGCGGCGGCTATTCGACAAATACCGATTTCGGGCTGTTCTATAGTCCACATACGGCAGCTTCAGTACTTAGTATAGATCGGAGTTACTCCTACATCGACTAGAGGAACCACATATTCGACACGACGAGCAGCGCCATTCAGGGGCAACACGTCCACGACTCCGACTTGCGATAGCTTTCGCAGCCGACACAAGGCAATATACCCACATCTGTTTCGGAGGATATGCAAGCAGCCGCTGATTGTGGCTCTATTGCTCATATCCCGTGTGAAGACCCGGCGTTACTGCCAGAACCTATCACTGGCGGATCGAGTTATACCGATTCCCTTTCTAAGGTGAAAGATTTGGGTTATTTTGGCTAAGAAGCGTAATAAACAGGGCAGGCTTAACTCATGACATCAATAGGAAGCGTAAGGATGATATATTGCGCATGCGGCGCTAGGTTACACTATGAGATAGGAATAACGCGAGAAACACCATCAGCGCATCAGACTCGCGTCATATATTATATCAGGAGGCGGCCTTATCGCACTAAATCGAACATATGCGAGTCACTCTTGCCTCACATCTTTATAATTATAACTAGGGCTCGACAGAAAACCACATGCCTAGCTCAGACAAAAGCCAGCTACAGCGCTATATATATACCAACCGCCTAGCCATTATACCTGCTCTTACACCATAACCACGTGCAGCAGAAGCTTGCATCAAAGGCATAGCGTAGAGCATCCGAGAACATGTATAACCTTGCAGGCACAAAACGCTCGTTCACGAACAATACCATAATAACAGGGCGCCAACCAGGACAGTAACAAGCACAGTCGATCCACCAGGGTAATACGCTATCAGCCTAGAACCCCCGCTTCTAACGACGACTTGGTCGTACTGGCCGACCAAGGCTGGAAGTTAGTCTCCGCCCTCGACAAGAACTACGGCCATACCAACCTAGAAGATTCAATGCCAAAGAACGCTACGGAAGTTAGGGGAAAGAACTCACAACAAGGTGCCACTAGAGATGGCAATAGAAGATCCAAGCACCCGGATTATCAGTTACATACCTAGGTAATAATCTATCAGCGGCGATGATTGGTTTAGACTCCTTAGTAAACACTTACCGAATCACAACCCAGCCCTGCGAAGGGAGACCAGTCGTATCACGATATAGAGGGTTCTTAAGGTTAAGAATATCCGCTGGGGCATCCGCGATCGTAGCGTATAGGAAAGTCCCCACACCAGAACCAAGGACCCAGAACTTATAGCCATGAAGATATATTGGATGGCCCATCTACGCAGCACGTCAGTTCTAAGTATTCGGGGACGTGGTTTAAGCAAAGCTACGAGACGAAGATTCCCCACGCGCAGAGACAGACCCACCTTATCCAAAGACTGGTTTAATATACCCATGACGATGTCAATAGTTAAGTTAATCGGTAAGTATCTCGTCGTGACTGAATCCCAGCCTAAAGAGATATTACCGTAGATAATAGGGATAGAGGGTTCCTCAAACGGTGCGCGATCGATTACCCAGCTCAGAATATCCGTTTGATTCACCATAAAGGACAAGGTCTTATCGGCTAGACCCGACGGCGGCGAGAGATTATTCTCGAACGGAGTGAGCGCTAAAGCATCAAGCAAAGCGGCGCCTGATTTGGCTGATCCGTTAACATACATCGAGTCGCTAACCAAATCTTCTACGTTATTATTTGAGGCCTTGGTAGTCTAGTTGCTCGGGTGTTAGCGGACACTCTTCAAGGACTAGGATAGAAAATTTCACATTATACCAGACAATCGCCCGTCCCTCAAGAACTTACTGCATATCGCCGCTCGGGAAAGTTACGAATCTAAGATAGTACTCCCCAGGCGCCCGATTGAGCTTAACCATAACGGAGTACCGCTATCCGAGTTCCATATAAAGAACCTAAGCGAGTCAGTTAAGGTTATCCCCCAGTCTCGATAGACTTACATTAACTTTCTGCATATTAGTATAGAGGCCGTCAGCAGCGTATACGAACATCGAGTGTCCATCTAGAGAGACCCGTAGGGCACTAGCGGCGCCAGAGTTAACCAGGTTAAGAGCTAACCAACCACGGGATTAGTCCGCGGCAATGGTGAGTAAAGGTAAGGAGGTGTTAGTGCAGGTCTCGGCAGGCAGTACAGACATATCAAACCCCGGCTTAAACATCATAGGCGGCATACAGCCACGTAGGCTCAGACTTCCCATTCCTGGCATATCTAGCATAGTCGACGACGCAGCAGGATAGTTCACCGATAGGGAGGGTGGCGCCGGGTTTATCTCAGAGCTCGCATGCCCCTCCATCGACGTGTCATACATATATCTTTAGTCCAGCATACGTAGCGCCATAGCCATAGATATCGATCGCCCGGCTGCCGAAGTCAGGGTTTCAGACTCTACTCCGAGGCCCGGCCCAGATTCAAGGATAGCCTCGGGGAGACACTATACCCTTCCTTAGCCGTTAGCCAGGATACTATCGACACACGATAGGAACGCACCCGTGCTATTATACCGCGAGAATATGGCATCCGAGAGTTCGTAAGTCCAGTCATTTAGGAGAATATTTGCCGCATCTCTTTCGGCGGCCAGGAGTGCTACGACATCGTCGTCATTTTCAGCCAAGCCTGCAAACGGACGCTAACGCGAGGCGGACGGTCGAATAAGGAGGGGGCCACGAATAGCGTCGTTATAATAAGCTCGGAAGTAGGAATAATACCAGAAAAAGCCATATTCGGATGCAGCGGAGAATCGATAGGTAAAATTGCCGCCCGGCACTATAGGAACCTAAGAATCTATCAGCAGTGCTACAGCAATCTTCCTCATTAAGGGGCGTATAGAAGCTAACCTAGGTAACACCCGGTACTCCATCCATGTTCGGTGTCCCTCGCTGCAACAGTCCTAGCCGGCAGGGCCATATCAATGGCTGTTATTATTCCGAACGGTATCGAATACAATAGTAACCTACCGTGCCAGTGAATAGTCGCTTCCACATCCAAGTCGTTTTAAACAAAGATATCCAAGTTATCTCCCTCATCAACATCTATCAGAGGACCCGGCTGCTAGCCATTAATCAGGTACACCTCACGCTCGAATCCATCTAAAAAAGTCAGCGGGCCTTAATTAATATAATTCTTAATTATTTCTTAGGGACTGCTTAAAGGATTTACGTGCCTAGAGAGTTAGAAGCGCTATAAAGCTTAAAGCTAAATTAGCGTAGGGCCGCCCTTGAGCCGACAGCATGAAGGGCGATAGTAACACACGTCACAAGCTTCTATGCGTAGACGTACATATTTCTACTTACTAGAAGAACGAGATAAAAGTTTGTTGAACGGAAGAGTAAACTACTATTAATGTTGAAGGCTGAAAGGATGGAAGAACTAGCGCGATTGAGTGACAGTAGACATGATCAGGAGGTATGTTTATGGCGGCTAGGGATGCACTCACCATTCGTTTGCCCCTACTATTGTGCTAAGTTAGTATCTACAAAAGACCTACAGGGATTTGCGGGACTTATGCGGCACTAGAGGCGAAAATCCGAAGAGTAGGGGCAGCGTTCGATAAAGCTATTAGACCAGCATCACCACAGATCCACTCTACCCCTATAGTGAGAGATATGTGCTAGCTTTAGCTTCACTATAGCACTCCCTCGATAGCAAAGTATAAGTGTCAAGGGAGACGCCACTACCAGCTCCGAAGCAAGTCAGCAGATTCGCCTACTGCTAAAGAGGTAGTAACGTCTAATTAACGAAAGCTACTAATATCCAGAGGCTATAAGCGACCACGATTTCTTAAAAGGTCCCATCTCTCCTACTCCTTTACACTTCCCGTCAAATATTTTATTATCACATCAAACCCTTTAGTGCATAATTTACGCGCCTATCGAAGTCTTCGTTTTACGCTAAACCACATCCACTTTAGGAATTATAGGTAAACTTTCCTAAAGCAGTCAGCCTTACTACGACTACCTTCAAATTCCTAATCTACCAAGCAAGCCTCTCACGGATACGCTACTAAAGTAAAGCGTAGCGAAGATAGCACAAATTAAGAGAACCCAAGCCATATCTAGCAAACGCGAAAGCAATCGTGAGGATATAAATGAGCGCGAGTACGAACGGTTCGAGATAGAGAAGCCTCAAGCGGATAAAGCTATAAAGACCACAGCTCAAAGTAGGCAGTCTACTCGCGGACTAGATCTAAGAACAATTGCAGAATTGGCCAATTTGTCCGAGGGGACTGAGGTCACCTTTCACGCCACGAGAGACACCCTGCGAAGTACATCCCCAACCCTCGAGATCCTCCAGTTTCGAGACAGAACCGATTCCATTCAAGGGGTGCTTTCCCGCACAGCCCAGAATACGACCAAGTCACCCCCGCCCAGTCCCCTATCCCTCGTCCAAATCACTAGTATACTCAAAAGGCCCCTAGGCTCCTTCAGAAACTTTAGCCTCGAAGTTAGCATCTATTCCATTCTTCCACTACATGAAATATACGACGCACCAGAATTCTCACCAGGGCACATAACAATGCGCATACTCGACCTCCGCCTTCCATTTAATAAAGCTTTATTCCGCATGCGTGCTATAGTTCTCCGAATCTTTCGCCAGGTGCTCGAGGACCGAGAATTTATCGAGATTCAAACGCCAAAGTTACAGCAAGCAGGGACAGAATTATCAGCGGAGGCATTCGAGGTAGACTACTACGGTCGGCGGGTATCTTTAGCACAAAACTCGCAGCTAGCAAATCAACTTACTATAGAAAATAGCTTCGAAAGAGTATACGAGGTAAGTCAATGAAATTCAAGACGACCGTAGTTTACAAGAAGCACGCTAACTTCCAAGATCGGTCCTATTTTCAGCGCAGAAGTCTCCAAAATTCAAGAGACTTTTGCTAAGAGCATCAGTATTAATATCGGGATAACTTTCGGCAGATCGTATCACGATCTAATTCAAATTATTAACAGTATACTAAAGTCTGTTTTCGCTGCAAAGCAGGCTATTCCGGAGCTGCGGATTATTCGCGAACGCTAGCCCAGTAAAGACATTATATAGCTTAACGAGACGCCAGTCATCTCTCTTACCGAAGCTTTACACATACTCCAGATCGAAGGCATAAGTACTCCAACGGAACACTCAACGCTTCGAGATAATATACGATTAGGCGCTTTAGTTAAGGAAAGATATATAACGGACTACTTCATCCTTAATAAACTCTCCGCCAACGAACGACCATCCTACGTCAAGAAAGCCGAGGGTCGTCACTAGACGGACCTATTTAGTATTTTCTTACGAGGCCAGAAGATTTACATAGGCGGGCAGTGGATTCATAAGGCAGAGGAGTTTCGGTACAAGATAAAGCAGGCGCAGGCGCAGGCACCCGAAAACGATACCGAAGATCATCGCAACGGGTTCGGCACCAGCACGCCATCTCACGGCGGTACCAGCCTCAGTTTAGAGCATTTTCTTAAGGTCTTCCTTAAACTTCACGACATTAAATATACCTCTTTATTCCACGGCAGCAAATAATTTTTAGAACTCTATTCTAGAAACGTAGACGCGCAAGACTTCAGCTCAGGACAAGAATCCTCTAGTAGATAGAACAAAACATAGATTTATGCACACCCTCAACAAAAACAACATATGCTATGCTATTCGGAAGCCGACGATCGATATCCAAATCGAGGAGCATAAGCAACCTACCTAGTCAACCTACCGGATCAACTACGGGACGAGCCTTACCTTTTCATCGATAAACTACACGTTGACGTAGCACGCGGCCGAACTATAATATACTTGTTCATTCAAAGATCTACGTAATTTGCATATTTGGAAATCAATTTTTTATCGACGTTATCGGCCTCCATAGCTTGCGTGAGGGAAGTAGCGACCAGCCAAGCGTCGGCTAGGAGCTGTCCGTAGGTGGCCATCTAGACAGCTCAGAGCTAGTGCTTAAGGAGAAAGCCAGTAAGCAACCAGCGGCGGAAATAAGCGTTACTAAGTCATAAACGGGAACGAAAAACGGGAACGAGTTCATCATCGAGAAGCTTCTCGCCACGGTGATTAAAACAGCGAAGTAATACTTACCAGCTTACGTCATACTTAGGCGGTGCAAATAGATCCTTGGTAGGAGAAGAGATCATAAAATGCTATCAATTTGCCAATAACGAATAACGTCACGTGGTCCACAAGGTCGAAGAGGTAGTTGAACCCATTAAAGGTTCTGTGAAATTATTAGTTAGCCGTTAGTGGTCAACATAATTATAAGCAGCGTGCTCGTCGAGGTTTCCAAGGCGTGGCTAGACAAGCTTTAAGAGGCGTATCGTAGCCTCGGCTTCTACCGTGTCCCAGACTAATCCACGAAAGCAGAGAGAACTAAGCTCATCAGAAAAACAGGCTCGCACGCACACCCCACAGATATAGATATTCAATATTTATAACAGGTATACCGGCAGAACAAGAGGCCCGCACCAAAGCGATACAATTCCGAGCTAGCAGCGTTATAGGTAAGGAGTGATATCTAGCTAGATGCTCGCTATGTCAGCTAATAGGACCTAACCCTAGAGGTGAGCAACAAGCTGTAGGTTCTCACCATCGATAAGTAACAGCAATCTATATGCTTTATCAAGTTAAACGTTCCTCGATCTTTTGAAGAAGCCCATAATAGTTCAACAACAGCTCGCGATCCAGGATCCTAGACGGCCTCCATCCCAGGCGTGCAGCTCCATCTGATTAATATCATAGACTCATCACGTTTTCGGGGCCTGTTTCGCGACAGACCTTATTTTACATCATCGTCTATGTCGGCCAGTCTTCAGTTAGGAGCTCCGTCTTAGAAGCCATGTCGGATCTCTACTATAGAAAGCAACTTTTTTACCCAATTCTAAAGGAGCTCATCCTTCGTAGTAGTCTCCACGAGCATCAACGTACATCTTTAACGTGCCTCACGCACACTTATGATCCTCAAAACGCAACACCCTTTTCTAGCACCATCATCACTAGGCGGAATAAAATAGGTGAGATTTTATAACAATATAATAAGATATAATATAAGGGAAGAACTAAGCACAAGGTTCCTTGCTATCCCCACTTGTGCAGTGTAGATTGAGACTGACAACGAAGGCCACAGTGGCAATCAACAGCCCGGGAGTCGAGGATATCTTAGCGACCATCGATTCACTAAGAATAATTACGATACAGCGTCCACCACGCCTAACCTATTCCTGCTGCCTCGAGATTATAGCAAAACCCTATAAGCGCTCCGGTTGCGGCCACGTGATCATAGTGATATTACACGTGACCTACACGTACCCTCTGCGGAGGCTTCGATAATACAGTAGCTTATTGCGAGTAAAAGCGAAACACAAGATCTGATTATATAATACACATCACGTGCCCTCTAGACTAAGCGTTTCCGGGCGGAATAAATAATTCATTCATTCATTCATTCATTCATTCAATAGCTTATTTCGAACCACCAGCATAAACTCACTATCGCTAGTCAACCCTACGCCTTTCCTCGTAACTCCCGACAGAACTCTAGGTTCTCTCTCGTATAGAGCCCTCTAGAGCAGAACGACTTCTAGTCTACTCCTCTTCTAGTATCCGCCGTGTCTTTACCCAGCCGAATAACGTTTAACTCCGCAGGCAAAAAGCAACTAGGGATCGCGTTTAAACTTATCGCTTATCTATTTCCCGATTCGAACGGATAGACTCGCTTATATACTATAGCTATTGCTCTCTAACCAGATATTCGAGTCAGTTAACCTCGTCCGCGCCGCCTTTCCCGAGCTTTTCCCTTAACTATCCGAACGTTTAAGGTTATCCGAATTCGAATAGCTAAACTAAGACGCGGCGATAGCTATATCCGCGAACGTCTAGGGTACTCTTCCTAATGCCTTAATTAAGTCTCTTAATAGGTATCTCCTATCTTAGCGCACCGCTCTCTCGCTTACCTAACTTCTTTTAGCCTTTTCCTTATAGGAGACTATTCCGACCTAACCGTTATTACTAGAAGGATTTACTATCTACACCGTAATATCGTCTGCACCTACTCTAAGGTACTAAACGCGTTTTGCTATCGTAGTCTCAAGATCGAATCCCACTATTTAGATAGTAAGGCATCCACCGCGACTATTAACCTTACCGGTAACGATCCTTATGCTATCGACTATATACTATAGTATTTCTACCGTTTCTAGTACGATATATTAAAGCCTAATCTCTAATAAAATAAGCTAAGATAGTCTCGATACGCGGGATACTTAAACCGTAACTACCCTCTACTCTCGTCTTATATATCCGTGTCTATGCGCTCGCCGAAATATATATAGTTAAAGACCTTAAGGCGCTCTCTCTTTAAAACTTCACTAATATAGCCGAATATCTCTAGAATACCGACGAATTTCTCGACGCTGCCCGCGAAGTTTACACATCAACGATTAAATCTAATAGAGGACTTCGCGATATTATTATAAAACTCATCATCGGCCTTATCAACTCCGCTACCGGCTCCCTATCCACCCTGCCCTCGACCCGGGGAGGAGTAAGATTCGTCGTTATTGCGTGTCTTATCGTAAGAATCAGTGCTAGCGCTATTCTCGTCGTCCGAGGAGTCGTAGGCTACATAGGGTTTCGTGGTCGCATAGCCGCCAACATTCCTCACACGCCGTTAAGCGGTTCGCCACGGTCTCTCTAACCTACGACATGATATTCCGGTCGCGTGCATTAGCGACGATGCCTCGTTCCCGCAAGCCGTGCCTATTGCCATATCTATGCCTTACTCTTACGGCGCATTCGACGAATTTGACAATGGAGAACAGGCCTCCGGGGCGGTGCCACCTAAGCGGTCTAGACTATCGCTACCTAGGCTGCCCCTGCTTCTGGTTCTATATCTCTATCCAGCATCGTGCTCTTAGGGTATAGAAGGCATCGCAGATAATTGTAAGGACGGGCACGGTAAACACTCTCCATCTATACAAGTCTCCTCACTAGGTTGGCCATGTGTCGGCGGAGCTAGTGGATGCATAGATTCAGGGGCTTATGTCATGTTTAGTATTACTTTCAAATTTACTTCGGCGCCACCCCAAGACATTGACAGCTGGGATTGACGTACAAGCAGCTCTTCAAGATCGTAGCCGAGGATACTACGGCTGCCGTCCCGGTACTCGGCAACGTTCATAAACTAGGGAGTGACGCTTCTTACGTATCCGTAGGCGCAAGCAAGGGTCTCCTAGATCGTGTCAACCGAGAGCCCGGGCGCTTCGAGCCCCCCCCCCGGGAGCTCATTGGAGTAGGACCATGCCTTAGGCAAAGTCTCGACCTCTACGGTATCGCTGGACTCCAAATAAACATCGGCGTGAGGCATCGTGGCGTTCGAGAAGGGAGTAGGTGGCTCCCGTTTCAATGACCATGTGTCCCGAGGGTCTTTTGAGTACCTGTCTCTCCGCACACAACCTGCAGAGCTGCCAGACTCAGCCCCAGGGTTACCTCCTCGCGATAGACCGGCATCCCTGGGCTTCGTAGAGCCTATCGGCCGGAACATGCCGAGTCCTGGTCGATCCGGCATGCCACCCTCCGGACCGTTCTCTCTGTAGATTGGTGCTTCTACAGGGTTTGTACAATTGACTACCCCTATTGCCGATAGGTGGCCCGCTCGGACCGTGGAGCTCGCAGCATATCAGCGGAGCCACCACACCCATTCGACGATGAGCGGGCCATCTTGCGGGATTAGCGCGCTCCTACGGCACACTCCGGCTGCGAGGGTGCTTCCCGGGGATGCACGAACCACGCCCATTCGATGTGGCAGCACACCCTCAGCTCTTGCGAAAGCCCAGAGTATGCATCGATCGACAGGCACTCTGTGCAGCCAGCACACCCAGTTCAACTTAGCGCCCCCCGAGGATCCACCGCGCCGTCTTGGGCGACGGGCGCAGGATTGACTCCAGTTGCATACCAACGCCTCTTGCTGGTCACACCCATCCGGACGCTTGGCGCGCAAGGGCCAAACAGATTTGATGGGAATGGCCCTGTCGCCGGCACCGGATTGCACATGGGTTCCCCCAGATATTATATAGTACCTAATCCTGGTTCCCGAACGGCCATATGCTGTCGGTGTGAGCGTGATGACACACCTTTGACTACGTCCAAGTCGCATAGGCCACTCCTTAGTGTCCGGAACCCTGCCTCTTTTGAATAGACATGGTACCAGCAAGGTACACTTGATTTCCGCATCAGACTATTACAGCTCCTGCCGGTCGGCGGGTCCGATACTGAAAATCCAGGGAACTATGTCTGGTTGTGCCAGAGCCTGTTGGCTTATGAGGGTGTCGATGCGAGCGATGTTTCCGTGCGAACAGGAAAATGACCATGCCGGAGGCAACTGCCAGTGTTGCTGCCCCGACGATAATCCCGGCAGTAAATGCCCGTTTCTTGGGGGACAGGGTGGGCATGTCACTGCCTTCCAGGCTGCCTGCCACCCACGAGCTGGCCCTCTTGTGGTGCGGGCTGTGTTCTGGTCAGACGTGCTCGCGTCGGCAGATTCTGTCCATACGTGTTGCCCTGTTCGCGAGACACCGACCAGGGACATCGCTTCCGTTGTTGCTTCTGTGGAGCTTCTAAAAACATCGGGCCCCCGGGTTGAAACTCAGTGCTGTCGCTAGAAAGCCACCAGGTGCCATGCGCATGTCGAAAATCTCCGGCAGTCCCGGGGTAATTGTTGGGATGTTAAAAGCATTGGTGGCAGACTAGAGTTCCAGGCCAATCCTTTTCATTAGAATATAGAAGTAGGAGGCCGTATTCGCATCGGATTAATCTGCGTTCTTCCGTTGTCTCTGGAAATACTTATCCCCTCGGGGATTACTCCAACCCTATTGCAGTTATCTTCAGAACCGTTAAGCGTCTAGAGATATCCATTCCCGTAGAATACTAACCTACGCCGAAGATCTATTAATTCTCAGTATTCCGGAACTTTTTCCATCAAGTAGAGGTTTACGACGTTATGAGGATATTGCCATCCTCCGTCGTCATAGCATAAGGCTGGTCGTCAGCATAAATCTGGCCTTCGTTAACCATGGTGAGTAGCTGATAAAGCCCGAAGAATTACAGTCAGTTTTTAAGCCTCGTTGACCGGTGGATCGTGAAATCTCATTAGGAGCGTGGCTTTGGTGTGTTGTCTTGTTACGACCTGGTCCCTCGTAACCCCCTATGAATAGCTATTACGCCTGTATTGATCGCTCGTCATTCGATCAATGCCTGATCTTTTGCCCTTGGCGCAACGGCTTAGGCGTAGCCGTTACACAGCCGCTAAAGTAGATCATAAACCCGTGGGCTTGCCTCGAGAGCTCGGGCTGCTATCTCATAAGAAGACATACTTTGAGGCTGAGGTCTCTTGCTGGTTGTGGTGCTCGAGAGACAAGTAGTTGGCCGAAAAGGCCTATGGTTAGTAGACAGAGGTGACATTTAGCCCAGCCTAGAGAGCCTCTTTATATATTGCTAGAATCCATTGTGGCTGCATCGGTCTTCCGAGGTCACGGAGTGAGTAGGGTGGGTTGTGAGATTTCGAGAAAGTCGGCGTAAGACAATAAGCGCGGTTCAACGAGGGCCGTGCTGTTGGATTGATCAGGGCGATATATGAACGGAGACTTTCAGCTGCTTTAGATCGCCCACGTTATGCTCTGATGCGCTGACGACGGCAACTTTACTCCAGTAGCATAAGAGCTGTTTAGTCCACCGTCGCAGCTAGAGCTCTGCTTCTCTTATGAGACTTCCTACGCTATAACCATGCTGGCCAAACCCGTGACGGGCCATACCAAGCCGTTGCGTGTCTGTGCAGACGTCGGCATGGTTCACAGCCATTGTTCTGGCTCGGGACAAAAATATCCATGTTAAGGTCGCGTGGATATATTTCATCCAACCCTCGAAAATATCTCTTCTTCTATGTAAGGCACTCTGTGACGTTCGGGTCCGACTAGCTATAGGGTAGGTAGATCTGAGGTCGGTTTATGAACTGAGTATATTAGGGTGTCGTAGACTTGAGCGGTGCTGGTCACATTCTGGTGCGATAGATAGTAATCTAAGCGTTAACTATTGTATTGATAGCTGGGGAGCTAGGTAGAGACTGACTATGGTGAAGCGTAGCTTCCTATATACTATGAATGATTGTAGGGGATCGCTGGGTAGTCGTGAGCCAGTTCCCCATTGTTACACGTTAGAACGTGGGATCAATGGTGAGCCATGGCGGGTTACCTTCATAGGGTGAATGATTGGAGGAAAAAGTGGGGGGCATGTGAGAGGCGCATGCGGTCGCATGTCGGGTCGTAACACACTCCCGCAGTTGTCGTCTCGTGTCTCGTAGCATCAGCTCCAGGGTTGTGAGACTCCACACTATGCACTCGAGAGGGATCACTCCCCACAACCGAGACTGCCCAAAGATCGAAATCCCAAACATCCGAAGCGTATACAGCAATGCGCCGAAGAGGAGCGCCAGCAGATGGTAATGCGTCACTTTGGGCTGCACTAGTGGACCTCGCCTCATGGCCTCCGCCATTGTGCTGAGCTCGTTATTGGGGTGCTGGACAGGGTCCTCTTTACACCGCTTAGCATGGACAGCATCAGAGTGGTTTGTGCAGGTACTCGGGGTCATGGCAAACGATAATTTAGGAGTTAGTATTGAAGCCTTTGTGGTGTGAAAGGCCGACGGCAAATAGGAACGAACGTTGACAAGCTCTTGCGACTGATTTGCTTTGGTGGGTGCGCAAAATGTGGCAAATGCGAAATAAATTACTGCACATTTCCAACCATCGTGTTCTTCGCGACGACTATTATAGCGACTACACAGCCGCGTAACATCGTTTGCCTCCCTCATACCTCGCCGTGCCGGACACAAAACACGCCGAAATCATTCCATGTCGTGATTGGGCCCGGTTTGCTAATGGCGTGCTGTGGCGGCCCGGATAACATGGATGGACGCTTCGCGTGAGTGATTTGTGCGCTGTATGACGTGGATCATCAGTACGTGGCGCTAGTCTCACTCGCGCACAAACCGCGCATTGCGTGTGGCTTGCGGCTGACGCGCTTTCGTCGCCCAAACACGCCGCGACAGGGTTGTGCACTGTTCATCGCCGACTGATTCGCGGTGTTACAAACCGCTGTATGTAAGGCGCAGGGACTTTGATTCTGCGCAGTACAGTACTGTACTTGGAAGTTTGCACTCAGACGAAAGTATGTCTTCCAGCCATGCGCCGTCTGAAGTAAAGAGAGAAAAAAAAAAATCGAAGTATTGTATACGCTGGCGAAGATGTGGATTGCTGTGCTGTGGCATTGCCCTATAGATCGGTTATAAGATTAATATATTATAGCTCGCCGCGAACGCTTTTGCTAGCGGGGTAGTCATGGAGATCGTTGCAAATTGTTTCGAGTGTCGGCATCGAGGCGGACCTTTCGTAATGTTTTCCGGCGAGGTCAGAGAGTACAAGCACATCTACCTACTTACAACCGATGGTTCTCTTGGTTCGACCGATGCGCTGTCTGGAAAGCACGACGCGTCCGCTATTCAGCGCGAGATATTAAAGCACAGCCTGCGCCCGAAGTGAGCCGACCTGGGCTAGAAGTACCCAAGAACATCAGTAGGCAAAATACATTTGATCGTACCGGCTCAAGCCCCGGGGCTTTCGGATAGCCCGGCTAGACCTGTGAATCTCACAATCCCACCCCGAGTTTGACTGGTTGCTGCGAGACATGTGGCTGCCAAGTTGTTGGGAAAATTAGACAATAGAAAAGAGCAGCCTTCCTGTAAATCGACCGGTCGATTTATTACAGACGCGACAAACAGACGAGTCACAACGCATTCACGGAGTCGGTCGACGCTCACAACCTGACCTGGGGAATGCCAGGGAGGGACGATGGCACGGAGATAGCAGTACGAATGGCGGACAGGTGCGGATGGTATTGACAAGACTACCCTCGCAACATTCACCTCACCGCACCTCAGCTCTACAACAGTCGTGGCGTTCATAGGTTATGGAGATTCACGGCAGTGCGTGAAGCCAGCTCCACCTCGCCTGCGACGATGTCCTGAACAGTGGGAAGCCGCGTACCAATATTTGAACACCATTTATGAGTTTGTGCTTGTACCCTGTTGCCTAATCCTTGCTGTGCTCTCCCATCTCTGCTGGCCTTTGGCTAAATCCTTGCAAACCCCTTCCCCGTCCTCGGGGACACAAATAACACCCTGCGGGCATTGCCAGAGCCCTCCCATGCTTTCCACCCTGGCCCTGGTGGTTTTAGCTCTCCACGATTTGCGTCGCTAAAATTTTCTCGTCATTGGCCACCTTCGGTTGTGGCGCTCGCTCCACTAATTTAGTCGGTCTCTTCACCAGTTCATCCTCGAGCTTGCCCCTTTGCCAGACTCGTCTCGTTCATCGCAGCGTAAGGCGACAAGAAACTCGCGACACGAACGAACCTTTTGTGTTGTCGCAGTCCTTTCTTTCTATCCCGTCTTCTGATTCCTGCTTGCTTCCGTTATAGCTTTGTTGCTACGCACTAGCCTGTGCGTTTCTGCTACCCCGTACACAGTCCCACACCTCGAACAGTGTCCGGCGTTATCCTCCTCGTCGAGGTTCAACAACGACCAACGTCGATGGCCGACTCCGACGTCAAGCACGTCTTTCCTAGCGCCAGCACCATGGGTTCCAAGCTAGAGAATTTCTCTCCCCGGCTTTCGACGGGGGAGACCGAAACAGCCGACCAGCTCCTCGAGAACCTCGGGTACAAGCCTGAGCTGCTGCGCAACCGATCGACGCTCCAGGTCGCCTTCATGTCCTTTGTGCTCGCCTCGATCCCATACGGCCTGGCCACGACGCTCATCTTCCCGCTCGTCGGTGGCGGTCCCGTGAACATCATCTGGGGTTGGGTCGCAGTCTCCCTCATCACTGTCTGCGTCGCTGCGTCTCTTGGCGAAATCACGAGTGTCTATCCCACAGCCGGAGGTAAAGCTCCCCGAACCCCACCCCGGAGCGAAACAACAGAGCGCGCGCATATTCCCTCGTTCCCCTTCATATAAAGTCACATAATTGATCGCTTCGTCTCTACTGCAGGTGTCTATTACCAAGCCTTTATGCTGGCCCCTGCCAACTGGCGCCGCGTCGCGAGCTGGACTTGTGGCTGGCTCTATGTCGTCGGGAACATCACAATCACCCTATCTGTCAACTTTGGCACCACACTTTTCTTCGTCGGGTGTATCAATGTGTTTGAAAAGGAGCCAGGGGTCGGCGTCCTTGAGGGCTCTAACTACCAGGTCTTCCTTCTCTTTGTTGCTGTCACCTTGCTGTGCAATGCTGTGTCTGCTCTGGGCAACAAGTGGCTCCCGTGGCTCGATGTAAGTTCTCTGCTGTCATTCAAACGTAGAGTCAATTATTTTGCTAACTCGAACGAAGACTGCTGCTATCTTCTGGACCTTTGCAGGGGTCATCGCCATGATGGTCACGATCCTTGCCATCGCCAAGAATGGTCGTCACGATGCCAAATACGTCTTTGGAAAGTTCGAGAACAGCTCTGGCTGGCCCGATGGCTGGTCTTTCTGCGTCGGCCTCTTGCACGCCGCTTATGCCACTTCCTCTACCGGCATGATCATCTCGTGAGCTGCCCCAGGCTTCCTCCTCTGTCTCTCATCCATGCGGCTAACACTCTGTAGCATGTGCGAGGAGGTTCAGAAGCCTTCGATCCAGGTCCCCAAGGCCATGGTCGCCACCGTCTTCATCAACACCTTTGCCGGCCTGCTTTTCCTGATACCCATCGTTTTCGTACTGCCCAACATCCAGGGTCTTATCCTCCTCCCCCAGCCCGTGCCTGCCATCATCACGAGTGCCGTCGGCTCCCCCGGCGGTGCTATAGGCTTGCTCATTCCCCTCATGGTCCTCGCCCTACTCTGCGGCGTCGGGGTTACCACGGCCTCTTCGCGCTGCACCTGGGCCTTTGCGCGAGACGGCGCCATCCCCGGATCTAGGTGGTGGATGAAGGTCAACCGCAGACTCGACGTGCCGCTCAACGCGATGATGCTGTGTATGGTGGTGGAGATTGTGCTTGGTCTCATCTACTTTGGGTCCACGGCCGCCTTCAACGCCTTTTCCGGCGTCGGTGTCATTTGCCTGACAGCCTCATATGCCACTCCAATTGCCATCAGCATGTTTACGGGCCGCAAGCAAGTCAAGACTGGGAACTTCTACCTCGGCAAATTTGGATATTTCCTTAACATTGTCTCTATCGGTAAGGCTCCTCATCTGTTCAGACCCGCGTAGTTTATTCTTTTACTAATTTGTTACGCTGTAGCATGGTCCTTGCTAGCATTGCCCTTGTTCTGCATGCCCTTGAGCATACCTGTCACTGCCACAACGGCCAACTATGCCCCGGTCGTGTTCGTCGCCGCGACTGCCATCTCGAGTATCTGGTACTGGGCGTGGGGACACAAGAACTACGCCGGCCCACCGGTGCAAGGGCAGCACCAACATAATCAGTAGGAGCGTGGAGCCGGGTGACTGCGGCGCTGGATAGCTGACCTGGTGCGCGATGATGTATAAACAGTTTGTCTTTATGATACGTTCAGCACTGGTGATGTGCCAATTACGCCAACTGTCATGAAGTTTTTTTTCATTTAGTGGACTAAGGTCGGTATTTTTATACCAGAGTCGATGAGGCTGTAGCCTGGGTTGGCTATAGGATTCTGAGACATCGCAGGCAGACGCTGGGTTGCCAGAAGCCATTCGACCTAAGATTGTGATGTCTTCACTGCGACACCAACTTTCCGACCACGCGAGTTTGTCTGATTTGACTCACGCCTTGGAACAATTGCATTTGTGGGAGCCCCACCGTCGCCGGGGGAGGGGAGCCTTCCCAGATATCCTTTTGCGTGGGAGCTGGAGACGGTCTTCTCATAAGAACGAGGTCGCCAGCCGCGAGACCAGATTTTGCACTTTAGTTAGCATCGACGGTATTGATTATCTGTATTATATATTAAGAAACGCTTATCGATTGTAATGCCGCCTTTAGTCAGCCTATTCTTAACGTAAGTCGGCTGCTGTGTTAATTTGTCGTACGGAGGTCGCTAATATTTATAGATAAACGATAGAAATATGGATAAGTTTACTATCGCTAGTGCTGAGCCCATGCTTGGGCCTTGAGTATGATTGCGATTAGATAATGAATATATCATGCTATAGCCCCCGTATCGAGATCGTAACTTGCTAATGGCTACTTGCCGACTAAGTACGAGCATCTCCTCGAAAAACGGAAAGAACTATCACCTAATTATATCGTTTCACACCGAAAATACCGACGAACGATCGCAGGAGGTTATCCTTTCTCTGCCGCCAGTTGTAACGCTCCGCTCCTATCGAAGCTATAGAGGAAGCACACTCTAGAGGCGAATGAGCAGCGTAAGTAAGTGATATAATATCGTAAAAGGGGATAGCTTAGATAAATACTATCTAAAGATTCTCGAATTTAATCGGAAATAACTATCTATAGATCCGAACTTGCTCGTAACTAAGGTTCTCTACGTTTCTTAGACCTATTTATATATCCGCTGCCCTTAGTAGAATAGTGACTATAGTAGATCGCGCTAACTAGCTAATATAAGCGCGTCGTAGGAAATTACCCTAGGACACGATATATAAATAAACTTACCTTAATTATAGCTATCCGGTCTAAGGGTCTTAGAGTAAAATAATTTCTTAATATCTAGTGGAGTTAATATATTCGCCTAAGTGCCGTTATCTATAGTAAGAGGAGGTAGGGTAGGAGACTATCGAGGCTCCTCCCCTATATTAGTCTAAGCTAAGGCTAGGCTAGCTAAGAGATCGTTAATTAATATAGGCCTTTCGCACCTAGGCTACGACTAGTATTTACTACCGCTAGTAGTATAAGAAGGGAGAGCGCGGACGGTCGAATACTAAGAAGTAATAGTAACCTTAGTCCCGGTGACTTTTGCTTATTAAATAGCCGACTTAGTTACCGCCCCTAGACTAGAGGATATAAACCCTATAGTTCTTAATTAATTAGGGTCTAGTAGACTTCAAAAATCTATATCTCCCGTGCTATTACGACCTAGTATACGGCCACTAACGTATATCACGTAGGACCTATAATTTCGTCGTATAAACCTATTTATATTCTTTATATAGTAATATTATTAAGCTACCGATAGTCTATAACTAACCGTAGCTTCCCGTTCTTCTTTAGTACGAATATAACGGGGTACCTTACTTCCGAGGTAAAGGTCTGAATATAGCCTTTCTTAAGTATTTCGTCGATATATTCTTATAATATCTTAAGTTACTTTTAGTTAAGGTTATAGAGTTTATAGAACTTAGTCGAGGTTCCGGTCTTAAGATAGATTTCGTAATCTTATTAGCTATATTAGGGAATACTTATTTCGAGGGTTTCCTTAAATAACCTATTATATTTACGGTATTCTAGAGGTATATTCTTTATTTATTTTTCTTCTATTATAGGTTTTTTTTTCTTTTCTTCTTATAAGGCTTAATTCGCTTTAAATATCTTCTATATAATATTAGCGATAATTTATTTTCCTTATTTATATCGTATACCCGGTTATAAGGCCTTCTTAGTTAATACTATAGCTTTTGCTTACTTCGGCTCGCTTATATCTTACTATAAAGATCCTCTAGAGGCTAAGTCGTCGCGAATATTTACTTTCTTCTAGCTAAATAATAATTATCGCGTTATTATATCTATCTACGCTAACTAGCTAGTATGCTAATCGACTACTAGATTACTTCTCGTTAACTATAGGTAACCTAGTATTATATCGTATTTATATAAGTCTATAATATCGAAGACGATTATCTTATAGTATCTTTATATCGTTATATCGAGATAATCGGTCTCGCGGTCGATAGTCTTATTATTATAATTAAAGCTTTATCCTTCGATATTAAAAAGCTTATATAATCGAGTCTTATAATTCTATAGTAGCGTATATTAGTTAACTATTACTAATAAGATATAGTTTCCTATTACCTTATTATTTAATAATACTCGTAAGTAATATTTATTAATTTAGACTTCTAAAACTATTTTCTATCCTCCGTTTATTTTTACGGAGTAAAAGGTCTTTAGGTTTTCTTCGTTATCTTATGCCCTTTTTATAAGCGATATTAATAATTTTTTAATAAGTAGTATTCTATATCGATAGTATTATCCTTAGGGTCGTATACGTAGTTACTATCGTATAACTCTAGGTATATCGAGGGGTATCGGCTTCTTTCCTCCTCGTACGGGTAATATATATACCTATAGTAATAAACTCCGTAGTCTAGCGTATATCTTTCGTAATACTTATATATAATATACTATATATATACCTTCCCTCGCGGGATAAGGTATTCTCGTGCCTCGATCCTATATCGTAAGCGTAGCGTTTCCTTCGCTCTTTCGTACCTTTCGCGGTTTATCTTACCTTAGTTAATATAATCTCGATCCGCTTATTCGGTAAAGTTAAATAATAATCTTATATTATTAGGGTGCTTATTATATTTCTTATATCCTTACTTATACTATAAAGTATATTCTTTACTCGTAACTATTTTAATACCGAGTAATATTTTTACCGCTATCTTATAACGTCGGAGTTCTTCTATTTCTTTTTATTCCCTAGTCCTATACTAATTAAATACTTTTACTTTAGCGTATCGTAGATAGTTTATTAATTAATATCTACGCCACGTCTTTTAGTCTTATACGTATACTTCGGGGTATTTTACTAACTACCTTAGTATTATATATCCTATACTAGGTTCTATATATATATATATTTATACAACTCCGCTTTATATTTTTCGTATAGGTTATTAATAACGCGGGTAGCTAGTCCTTTAATTAAGTAAACTTAATACCTTCCTTTATTAAGTATATAGACCTTATAAAAGTAATATATATAAAAGACTTATAAAAGTTCGTAATAATTTAGTATATCTAGGTATATACGCGGGTTATCTCTTAAGACTATCCTCCGGTTTATTACTTAATTAATTCCTTTATTTAGCGTCTAAGCGGGGATAACTATCTAGAGATCTTCCCCTTATAGTAAAGGGTTATATCGGTCTATCGCTACTTTTATTTATTCTCGTAGAGTTACTTATTTATATAGTAAGTTAGTCTTAAGTATTCGTTTCCTTTATAAGAGCTCTTCGTTACTATCTATAGAGTTAGTATTAAATAATTCTTTATTTACGTCGTCCGGGTACTTCCTTAGTCCTATAGTAACCTTATATATTATAGCTAGAGCGCGAGGCCCGTATAGTGCCTTAAGGAACTATCCTAAGTTTTCTTTACTATCCCGATAGGTTAGGTAACTATCGATATAGTATCTTAATTAGTATAATACTTCGTAAGGTATTAATTACTTTCTCGCTTTTTCTCTAGCTTTCTTTATTTCTTCGAGGAACTTCTATCGTTCCTTTTCCCTAGAAAATACTATATTTTACAAGGGGCTAATATTATATCCGGACCTAATTATATTTAGCTACTTATACTTACCTTCGGGGACTAGCTTCTAGCCCTAGCTTCGTTCTTTCTTCGGGGAATAGTATTTACGCGTAAAATATCCTTTCTTACTATAGTTATAGTAAGTAAGGTTCTTTTTATCTATCGCGGCGAGCCTTCGTTCTATCGCGTCGAGATCTATTAATCCTATATAGGTTCTGCTAAGAGCCGTGCTTTAGTAAAATCAAGGTTAGCTTATATTAGGATAGATCCGGTTTCTATTATTATAATCGCGGCTTAAAGTACTAAGGAAGTACTATCCCTTCCTTTCGCGTTATCGTTCGAATTATTAGTTATCGATTTTAATAGCTATCGCGATATAGCTCGCGAGGGTAGCGGGTCGGTCTTCCTTATATAGCTTATCTTTAACTTCGTCCTTAAGACCTCGGTAGAAAGAGGCTATCTTATCTCTTTTACTTTTAGTAATCCTAGACGCGATTTAAGTAAATAAGGCGCCGTAGTCTAAGGCTAACCCTTTTTACTTTAACGCTTTTAGCTAGTTCTCGGTTAGGCGTTCCTCGTCGATAATCCTAAAGGTTGCCTTTAATATTTCTTCGAAGTTATTATAGTATACGAAGATATCTTTCGTCTCCTATCTTCGGTATTAATAAGTATTAGTCACGAAGTCCTTAAGAGTAAGTTCGAACTATACTAAAGCGGCTCCCGATAGGTATCTTATTACGTAACGTACTTTATCTTTTTCCGTACGAAAGATAGATAGGAAGTATTATTAATAAGCTCTAACCTAAGTTAGGAACCCTTAAAGGTCCTTAGTTATATTATCGAATAGTCTTAGTTAGCGTAGCTTTATAATCTCTCTTAGATCCTTGCCGGTAGCTTATCGAATAGTATTATTACTTACGTTATTTATCTCGTTCCTTAGTTAGGCGGCCTATTAATATTATAAGGTTATTCTTTCGTTAAAGGAACGGTAGGCTTCGTTATATTATTACTTATCGCGGGTCTATATATCGATAATTTATTATAGCTACCCTTATAACTCTTAGATTTATCCCTTAAGGATCTTTATATCCTCGTCGTCGGACTCGTCCGAGTCTAAGTCTATAGACTAAGCCGTCTAGGAG